AGTTTGCATACTCTCCCAAGTTATTCAAGTTTACCAAGCAAGTTGTCAATCTAAACTTGACTTGCTTGGGTATTTTATATAGACGAACTTGACTTACTTGAATTGGCTTGGCACCAAGTTAAGCAAGCAAGGCTTCCAAGTTACTTACTTGTTGCGAACTCTGCTTTCTATGCACTGTTTCTCTTCTTAGATGCCATCTAGTCGCCGCTTCTATTATATTGTAAATTATAGTTCAGCTTTTGAGTTTAATATATTTGGTATATACACGAGTATGGTTTGCTCGTTGAAAGTCTTCGAGTGCTGCGCGAATGCTACTTTCCCGGCCTGCGAAGGCTTCTCTAGTTCTGTTAAGGACTTTTGTAATACGTACCAAGGTATGTGACGTTTTTACACCCGACAGCCCCGCGCTTGATGCACACCGACACAGGGACGACGAATGAAGCGTGTATTTTTCCACCTGAGGACTAGTTGTATGTAGAATATATGCGAGTGGAGACGATTGAAGTTTGTGAATATGTTTGAATAAAGATTTTCTGCTTACTATCAGCTTGCTTATAGAACAGTGTTCTGGTACAAAGGGATGTATATTATTTAGCCAATATCAAAATCGAGTCCGAGTCCATCACTCGAGTCTCTGGCCAATCACCGAGTAATCCTAGATTCAACAAGCTACGCACAAACATGCTCGAATCACCAATCACCACTAATCACACAATACATACTTCAAAACCACCACACCGCTCATCAACTTTGATCATAATTTCCTTACTACCATCATAATATATACAAATCCCTCTCAACCCACCAATCCCCATTACACCCCCAGATCCCGAAATCTTCCCACCTACCCCACCTCTAAAGACACGAATCCAACTCCACCACCGCCTTACACCCATCCTTACCAAGCGTCCAATCATCACAAAGCGTATTACACGACGTCCCCGGCTTAACAAACACTCTACCCTGCTGACTCGGGTCACCACCAGGCGTTCCATACCAGGGGAGACGAAACTGCTGCGTTGTATCGCCCGCCTCACAGTTATCCGCGCCTGTTCATTGTGTCAGCATCCCCGCATATCCTCAAAAAAACAAACTTGGCCGAGCATTGCGAGGTTGGTTGTTTACTTTGTGAGGGAGTGAAGAAAGGGGAAAGAGAGAGCAAACATACGATATCCAGCCCTACAAGCACAATAATACGGCGCAGGCGTACTCGGATCGTCATGACCCCAGACGAACGTGCAGGAAGTCGTGATGTCGCAGAGGTTGTGGCCCGGGCGGTAGTCGCATTGTTGGCATACGGGTTCGCCGGCAAAGGCGAGGGAGAGGAGGGAGAATAGGGCGAGGGTGAGGGTCTTCATGATTATTACAAGGTACTAATTGGTGGCCGAGCGAGTGGATATGGAGAGAAGTGGGTCGGTGAGGATGTAGCAATGGTTGGGTGGAGTGGGTTTGTGGTGCTGGAAAACAAGTAGTTTATATAAACACGAGCGGGTAGGGTGACATTCTGTGAGATGTCTATTTTAAGATCAGAATAGTTTATGGGTAAGTGAGCCGGTAGGTTCCCGCTGCATAGTCGAAATCTGACAGGCCCCGTAAATGGATAGTGGAGTCGGAGGGCGAAGCAAGCTGGCTTCGGACGTGGCGGTATGATTCTCGCATTCTTCGTATACTCTGGTGCATGGATTTTTCCTCGAAGAAACTATTGAAAAAAAAAGATACGATACTGTTCCGCTGCGCGTGACGGACATACAGACTTGAAATTGCTTTGGAAGGGCCGTGAAGATTGTCTTGTGGTAAGCTACAATCGAACAAAGGAACACAGTAGTACTACCGCCATGTAACTCCCAATTGCCAACATTCTCTCGGAATTTCTCATCTGTGACCCACAGAAAGCAAGCAACGAACCCCAAACCATCGAAGCGTTTTGCTTGCTCGTACCCAAAAGAAAGCTAGCACACAAGGCTCCAATGATAATAAAGTTTCATTCCCAATAATAAGCTGACAGCCCTCTTTTTACCCTTCCGCTCAAACCTAAAAAAGCCTTAGCCGCAAAGCACCCCAGATTTCGCAAATGGTAAAAGTGGCGTTCTCGACCCAAGAAATTGACATCCGTATTTCCCGCGCCACGAGACGCACAGTTAACCGAATATCGATCGTGTGTGGGTGGCTAGAAGAATGGGAATCCCAGTTGGGTGGTGCTGACAAAGACCACAAGTCGTAGTTAGCTGAATCCGTCGTCTTTTGATCATGGGATCTCGTGTTTTCCCCGCCGTTCCCGGCTCGCCGGTCAGCTTGAAGTGTCAAAAACACAAGGTTTAACACGAAGTCTGGAGGGGGATGGGGAAGTAATGTTTTATTTTTAGCCGGTGAAATCACATGTTTGCAAACAAGAAAAAGGTGGTGGTGGCGTGGACATGACTTGAGAAAGTGAAAAAAGAGTATGTTGTATTGAATGAATCGTTCAGCTACGCAAATGGCGCTGCAGCTGAGTTCCAAACGCCGGTCATGATAGTAACTCCTCCATGTGCTATTGATATACTGACTTTCGTGAACTCATCACCTCTTGCCCTTCTTGAGCACTAGGCCCTTCCAACCCTTGCTATCCTTGATGCGTCGGAGCGCCTTGCTCGCGATAGGATCTTTGGCCAAATCATCCAGGCAGGCCTTCTTCTCTTCTTCGCTCTCGTGCTCGTGGAACTCGCACCATTCCTTTTCCATCTTTGGCCGCTCGCCTCTTGCTAGCATGGTGACTAGCTCGAATAGGAAAGCTTGTGGCAGGTGGCTTCGCAGAGGGATGGTACGCTCATCATCGCGATCGGGGTTCCAGTACACGGAGTACATGTCGAGAAAGTACCTGCAAAGCGGTGCGTCTGGAGGGAGACTCTCGTATGCGGCAATGACATTGCTGTGGTCGGGCATGACTTGCAGAATCTCGTCGTTTGTTTGCCATGCGAGAATGACAGCGCGGCTTAGTTTGGGAATCGAGTATTTGTGCGCGAAAACATAGAGCGATATGAAACGGCGCTCGAGGAATCCTTCCAAACTCCTCCATTTGTAGGGTCGTGAACAGCATGGGCATAGTGTCTCCTTGGGTATCTCGGGCTTCTCTGCGGGGTTGCGAGGGGGCAGTACTACCGGAGGCTTTTCAGCCTCAACTTCCCCCTGTACCTTCTCTGCACTGGTTGTTGTTGGGCTGTTCGTTGCTTCGGCGGGTGCTGATGCGCCATCTGCAGGTGTTTCGTCATCTAGAGCGATGCCCCATGAAGCAGTATCTACATCATCGCCTTCGCCTTGTTCTGTAGGTGGAGCACTGGTGTTGTCGCTTCCATTGACACTAATAGCGTGTGTTGGAGGGTGAACTTCCTTGCCGCCTTCGATCAAGTGATGCGGGATAAACCCTGTGTAAAGCCAGAGCATAAATGCATCGAAGACGTCTGGACTAGTATCCTCTAGCTCAAGCGTTGAACTAGAGGAGTTGTAAGGCGAGTTGCTCTTCTCTTCTAAGCATGTGTTGAAGTATGTCGAGCATCTCCTCAAAAGTTCGCGATGGCAGCTGAAAGACTCGGAATGTTCCTTTCCACCAACTTTGACGGTGATGATAGTTTGGTCAAAGTTTCTGCATTTGGTTAGCCGTTGAGCCAGACATGGTCCCAAGCTTCACCATAGCTTACCGGAAAGTGTGGCCGAGCGTCGTCGCACCCTTGGAGTTCATGAAAGGCATTTTGATAAGATAATCTGGTTCGTTCATCGCGGGCTCATTGTGGGCAATCCCAATTATTATATTCCACACGTATTGTGGCGCACCAGGAGCACTGAGAGGACCGTTTCAGCGACTGTACCAGCCCCATCTTGGCGTTGGATCTTGCAACGGAATAATGCTTGTAAGAGCTTCGGTTCAACGGGGGAGAAGGCTTAAGCGGAGAGTCGTATTGCTTGATTGAAACACGCTCACACAATAATAGCGAGTGACGGCTGGGTATTTCTTGGTGATCTTGGGAGAGGGTAGGGGTGGTTCGAAGACGTGCGGGAGAGGATGGGTTTGAGCGCGGTTTCACATTGCTTGGCGGGGGCGAGATGCCTCGACGCGCGCCTGAGTTGGCAAAGATGTGCCTCACCGTCGTACAGCACCAACGCTAGATGTGTCCCTTCTACGTCGTTTAGATTATTATTCCTGACGCATAAGGGCGTTCGAGACAGGGATAAAATCCTGACGCGTGATAACGTGGACGCGTTGTTATCTTTCCGGGGTCCTGCGTCTGGACCGAGTACGTCTGTCCATACTTAGTAGTAGTACATATCGCCATTGGCTACCTAGACCAACTTCGTCCATCATCAGGCACAACCACCCACACTCAACATGTCTACTAGAAGATACTCTACGTCTCTGAGGCTTCAGGAAGCGTACTGTTTCACTGCAGTCCTTGTTACAGTAGTGCATCTACAACGCACCTGCCTCATCTTCGCAGCTCCGTGACTACACTAACCCGACTCGAAAGGTATGAGCCTAGTGATCTTGCAGTAGCTCCACAGGTGGATGCAGAGGCCTAGTGTTGATCAGTGAGTACCGTTCACAGGAGTGAGTGGGGCATGGCCAGGGATCGAGAATACACGAGGGTTTGAGGCTTCATGAAGAGTTGGAGTTTACAGATGTGAAAAGGTTTTGTCGCTCCCTCGTCACCAGTTTTAATTGGACATCTCCCCCCACTCCCTCCACCACTCATACAGCGCAATACCGCCCGCCGTCTGCACGTCTGCGAAAATGATGTTAGATTGTGGTCCACAACTGCACACACAGGTTTGGAGAATTAGAACTTACTAAGACTTCTTGTCACCCCCACAGTCTTTATTTCCACGTTGCGATCGATAACTGCAAGCACCTCGGCCGAGATACCTTCTTTCTCACTCCCGAGTACCAGGCAGCACTTCTTGGGCAGCGTTCCAACGTCTTGACGACGGACAACTTCAATAGTGTCACCATCACTACCCAAGTATGCGCCATCGACGCCTTCGTAACCCAATATACCGCTGCGGTCTGTTTGTTCGATACCCACGACCTCGTATCCTTGGCTCTTTGCTTCCAGCAAGAATGCAGGAACATCCAATTCTTTGAGTTCCTTGATGGCAAGGTGCTTCTCTGATCTTACGCTTGTAGCCTTGAAGTCTTTGTGTGCAACCTTCTTGAGATCATCGATGTACAGAGCCTCTAGCCCAAAAGACTCGGATATACGCGAAAGACCTCCGAGGTTGGTGGGATTGTCAATCAGGGATGCGACAAGCATAACTGATGCAGGACGCCGGTTTTGTATGCTTGGTGGACCGGATGCTGGATGGAGGTTGTCTAGGTCGATACCAGCCTTAGTTTGTAGTGTGATCTGGCCGCCCGGATCTTCATTAGATACAGCTAAAAGAGCTGCGGTCGCTGGTTCATCGCTAGTATTCTGCTTTCCTGGCGCAGTGCCCAACTGTATGATTGCAGGGGGACAGGCGACACGTATCGCTTTATCGTCCGACTCAAGCTCTTGGAAATCTTCATATGTAACCAACTCATCTTCTGGCGATTCAATTGAAAGGTACCGCCCCTGGAAAATACCGACCATGGTGAAGTCGGCTTCGATGTCGACCTTCAAGGTTCTTATCGTCCATGGCGAAGCACTGAACTTGTCGAGACGTCGGATAAAGTTATCCATAGCCAAGAGCGCAGGATTCTCGATGACTGTCTTCCACCCCTTTTTCTTTGCGAGATCAAAGACTAGCGGAAATGCAAAGTTCGCCTCGTGGCGTATCTGAACTTTCGGACTTGCCGAGTATGCATTGAGCTGCATCATAAGCTGACCGGTAAACACCTCGGACTCATAGGATGCAACTAGAAGACCAAGTTTGATCAAGCTGGCAACGTGCATAGGACTGTACTCGTCCAAGTTCTGCAGCTGCTGGATAATTCTTGAAGACTTTCCTGGGAACTGACGATAGATGCGAGCTATTGTCCATTCGAGCAAATAACGATAACGTGGCCATGACTCCAGTGTCAGAGCATGTGTGAGTCCATCGAGATACGCATCAGCATCCGAATCACTGATGCAACGATGGCTCAATAAAAGGATTGCCTGTAGCTGTAGAGTCTTTTTCCAGGGACTCTTAACGGCGACCGGTGGTTGTTGATCTTTCCAGGGTTGGAGCAAGCGATTTAGAATGCTCTTGGCAACACCTAACTGTCCTTCAGGGAATCGCCGTAGAATATCCAAGACAGCTGTGTATGCATGCCATTCTCGTAGTCCGTAATATGAGGTATATGTTCGATGTGGCAGATATCGTTGCAGTCTTTCAGCAGCCACGACCTCGAACAAAAACTCTGGCTTGATGGATGCAGGATCGTTTACAAAGTCTAAGATATAATCTTCAAAGGGAAGAATACCTGTGACGGAAGGATTTGCAAAAGCAGCTTTGCGTAGTGATTTTGCAAGTCCTGCGAGTACGTAGGACCTACCCTTGGATAACCTTGTGAGACGTGACATGGCTTTGGACAAAAGGTTTGTGAGATCTGTTGCGGATTCTACATTGTTTCTTTGGTGATGCGTGATACAAATATGTATGCACGCCGGGTGGAACATCAAGGGTGGCAAGTGAACAGCAAATGGCCGAACGAAATCGCGGATTTCGGCCTCTTCCCAAAGTGCTGCCAAGGCGGTATGCACCTCACCTGGATCGACAGAGTTGACGTCCATATGGTCGAGCAGCTTGATTAAGGTCTTGCAAGCAGGCGCAAACCTCTGGCCCTGAATGCAGCTATGCTTTGACTCACGTAAGTCCTTCAGGAAAATTTGTAGTGACAGGGGCGTAGTGTCATCCGAGGTGGAGAATGTTGTTGACTGATCCACTTGCTTCTCTAAGTTTTCACACCGAGCACGTAGAGATTCCTCAGCTGACAGCATCTCAGGCCCTGGGTCAGGGCGGACAAGATCGCAAATTTTCCGGCAATGGATGCTATGCAAATCGCTCGCCACTTCAGGAAGACCTGGAAGCCGTGCAAGGCTCAGGATTTCTGTAATATCAGCTGACGCGAAATTCGGGTGTTCTGACAGAGAGGAGCTGCTGTATCGTGCGGTAAGACCTGATATGAGACCATTCAGTAAATACAGTATCGCCGGTTGAAATAACCGGCCGCGAGCGTTCATGATGAATCGAACTATGCCCAATACGATGGCACGCCCATGGCGGTTATCCACGCCGATTTCTTGCGTGCTATCATCGTTCGAAGGGACAAAATATGGACTGTCTTCAGTACCAGATGCGAATCGTGCGATAACAGCGGCTAAAGCCTCTCCATGGGCACAGGTAGTTTGCGTTCGGGTGGCAGTAAGTGTTGAAGTGAAGAGGCTCCCATCTGTTGCCCACGGGAGGAATCCGTCAAAGAGAAAGTGTATGTGGCCACTGATGTCACCACGACACTACCAGAATATAGTTATTATTTTGAAAGCCAGGTTGTGATTAAGTCACGTTGTGCATCAGCACTGTTGAAGTCTGCTTACCTGGATGACAAAGTCCATGTACCAGCGGCCAATCATCTTCCTAACACTCTCCTGGATTAACGGATCAAGAGCTGCAGTGAGCAAAGTGGTCGTCATTGCCGGAGTGATCTTTGATGGAAGAGCGTTTGCGGATCCAAGCAACTTGGTCATTGATGAGAGAGAGTCTTCCACTTGCCCAGTATAGCGATGCAGGACGATGGTCTCGAACAAGGTAGAGTAGAGATCGTACTTTTCTCGGTCCACGCCACTTGCAGTATACTGCATTGTTGGGGTATCAATGCGATCTGTTGTGGCCAGGAAAGACTGTCGAATGATGCCGAGGCAGTACTTGCGCTGGTCTGCATGGCCTTTGACGAGACCAAGTCTCAGTTTCTTCCAGTATTGTTCGTTCCTTACGCATTCGAACTTGAGGCCACTGGATGCGGCCAGCGAGATCCATTGAAACCAAGTTCTGTAAATATTGCTTGATCTAGCAGCAAAACGCTTCGCATCAAGAGTGCTCAGTTTGTTCCACAATGACTCATTGACTACACGGTCGATTTCGATGGGCGAACTTCCTCTTTTGTTCTTCAACAACGAGAAAAAGGCGGATAAGACTTCGTGTGCAGTCTCGTCTAATCCATGAGTACCCGGAAAATCTGATAGAAAACTAAGAGTATCGACATCCACCATGTGGTCCTCTGCGCCTGGCACCCAGAAACAGCATTTCAGAAAATGCAGATATGTCTTTGCAGACTCGAGCTTTTCGGGATCCCCAGAAAGGTCTTGTCTTGATCGAGCAAGGGCATCATAAAGGCCAGTCTTGAGATGAGCTGCTACAAGTGATTCGCGGTTGAGACACAACTCTGCGACCTTATAAAGATGATCTGAGGATGATTCGTCGGCTAGGCGGCTTAAAACAATGTCCCACAGTTGCCCGTGCTGCACGGTGCTCGCGGGTCCGGCATCAGATCCGTTGGTGGGTAGGAGTCGAAGGCAAATGTCGAGTGCGCTGATATCAATGCCATGTGGTGCAGCTTTGAGCTTGGCAAGGCTGGCGTCAAAGGCGGCGTGCCGGGTGTGGTCATCCAATAGGCTCAGCACTGCAGCAGTGGCCATGTTGGGCAGAAAGACCCGTCAGCGGAACCGTATAATGGGGAGAGCTGACGTTTCCTGCAGTGCGGTGTAACGCTGTTGTGGGATTTCTGTTGTCGTTGCAAGTAGAGGCGCTGGGTCTGACCAGTCACATCTCTGCTGGCGAATTTTTTAGTCGCTAGGTACGGCGTCTTCGCGCCCGACAACATCCAACATGCCCGACGCTCAGAAAAGAGCGGTATCCAAATTTAGCTGCCATGGTCGGTGAGGATGCTCTACCATCCACTTTGGATTTGTTTTGTACCGGAGTCGACATTTGTTATTACTCCGTATGACGTAGAAGGGCATTTGGCTGACGGGTGAGGAGCAGGGAGTGCTCTGTTGAGCGAATTGCTAGTAGGGGACCGACGGTGCATCGACGTCCCGAACCACTTTCATGGTTCATCCATCTACTCCCGCCGTGATGATCCATGTGGCTTGTAGGGATTGTCGACCCATCATGTATGCTTCCGCTGCGCCACGGTATGTCGACAGGCGGCTGGTGGGTTGCCAAGCAGTGACGTGGTGGTCATCGCACCGGCAACGGCGTGTTGACACGCCCCAAACATTGACCCTCGAGTCATGGCAGGAGCGATCCGTGCACTAACTCAACACCAACTACTACTATGCACCTGGTGTACATTGACCGGTCGCAACAGCTCTGGCGATCTTACTGCCCCTTAATAGGAGACCAACTGGACGACAAAATGTATCCGCTACATACAACCGCCTCGGCACCTTCCATGCGTGCATCCGCCGACATCTCATATGCACACATGTCTCCACCAACACCCATCAACGCCAACGATGACCCGGGCAATGTCAAGGTCGTGGTGCGATGCAGGGCCTTCGTTCCTAGAGGTAGGGATCTCCTGCAATTTTTACATGTCGTTGCATACTGATCGGCCGCAGAAAAGGAAAAGGGCACAAAATGCCTGATCCGAATGGACCCAGCGACCCAGAAGACGACGCTCTATGCGCCCGAAGACAGCGACAGCAATGGACGCCGATTTCATGAGGACAAGGAGTTCACCTTCGATCGCTCGTACTGGTCGCACGACGAGAGTGACCCGCACTATGCGCACCAGGAGGATGTATACCGCTCTTTCGGTGAGGAGTTCTTGGATCACAACTTTGCCGGCTACCATACCTGCATCTTTGCCTATGGCCAGACGGGTTCGGGAAAGAGTTACACCATGATGGGCACGCCGGAAAACCCAGGCCTGATTCCGCGAACCTGCGAGGAGCTGTTTGCCAGAATAAGGCATGAGCCGTCACCCAACACCAACTACCATGTCCAAGTATCCTACTTTGAGGTCTACAACGAGCACGTGCGTGACTTGCTCCAGCCCAGGACGAACCCGCCTGTCTACCTCAAGATTCGTGAGAGTCAGAAGGATGGCGTCTATGTACAGGGCCTGACCGAAGCCGAAGTCAAGTGCTATGCCGACGTGGCGCGCCTGATGAAGATTGGCGACATGGTACGTATCCAATTTCTGTTGTCTTACAAACCCATGCTAACACCTGCATAGAGCCGGACAGTTGCTTCTACTAAAATGAACGACACTTCATCCCGCTCCCACGCGGTCTTCACTATCCGCCTCAAGCAAATCACTCATTCTCTTCTTTCAGACGAGACCATTGAGCGTACAGCACGCATGCGTCTGGTCGACCTTGCTGGCTCAGAACGTGCAAAGTCAACAGAAGCCACAGGCGCTCGTCTGAAAGAGGGGGCACAAATCAACAAGTCTCTCACGACACTTGGTCGTGTCATTGCTGCCCTGGCCGACCCCCGGCGACACGGTGCCAAAGGGCGACGACCACGCGAGGTGGTTCCATACCGTGACTCGGTGTTGACTTGGCTTCTCAAAGACTCTCTTGGTGGTAACAGTAAGACAGCTATGGTTGCGTGTATAGCTCCATCCGACTATGACGAGACTCTATCCACCCTACGCTATGCCGACCAAGCCAAGCGCATCCGTACCCGTGCTCTTGTCAACCAGGACTGCATGTCTGCTGCACAGCGAGATGCTCAAATTGCCGAGATGTCGGAACAGATCCGAAGTCTACAGGTGTGCGTAAATGCTGCTAGCCAGCGCAAGAGGGAAGAAGCGACCGAGCTGGATGAGTATCAGAGGCAGGTTGCACTCATGCAACGTCTTATGGAAGAGAACCGCCAAGTTTCAGCTGCAAAGATCAAAGCACTTACTTCGGAAGTCGAAGAGCTCCGTCCGCTCAATACGGCTCTCCGTGCAGAGATTGACACATTGCGCCGCCATCTCGCTCTTGCCCTTGGAGAGCTCAAGAACCCTATCGTCCTGCCGCCACCGCGTGAGCTCGGTACGCCAGACTTTGAGAACGGAGAGTGGCTGGGCGAAGGAGATGAGGTAGACCGGTCTATGGGAGCTGGTGGTGACGCAGAGGCCAGTGGTGATGATGACTCTGATTCAGGCTACGATGAAGGTGACCAGCACGATGAGTTGGCACAGGAGCTGCAGAACGAGGCAGAATCATTCCTCCAAGATCTCGGCCTGTTCCGCAAGAAGGTTGGTAGCGATGTGGAACGATTTGGAATGCACGAGAAACTTGCCGGTATGATGGAGAATGGACTATAAAGGAATGCGGCCAGGGAGTTTGCTATCTTGATGGAGTTGAACAAGGATACAGGATGAACTTTGATTATGGATGCATGAGCGACGGCGTTATTCTTTTGATACGGGCGACACAGATCCCAACGTAGATAGTAGTATATAGTTGTGCCACGATGAATGAAATACGTCTCACACGCCCTTACCATACCTCATCTTCTTCGTCAACGCAGGCATGCTTCTTGGCTTGGTGTTCTTGTTCCTCGCTTCTTTCAGGACTCTTCACGTTTGTATCAGCACAAGCGCTCTCCCCTGCATTTCTATCATGACATACCTTCTCAGGGGTAGCTTCCTGCACAGCTTCTCGCTTACGAGGGCGACCAGCACGAGGAGCGTCTTCAAGGTACTCAGGGAGAATCTTAATCATAGGGGCATTTGGATCAAAGCCTCGTTGACAGGCTCTTCTATAGATTGCGTCAATCGTACGTTGTGGAACGCCTGTGATTTCGCTGATTTGGGCGGTTGATTTGCCTCCAAAAGGTGACTTCAAGGTAACAATTGCGGCACGGGTAGGGAGATTTGTGTTTGGAGCCATGGGATATTTGAAGTGAAAACCACGATATGTCAAGCATTTACACTTCTCCAGATTCAAAGATGTTTGTATTTCTGCGAAGTAAGACGGACCGAATTATCCGCTGAATGCCACCTCCGTACGTCGTGCATATGTGATGTGACAGGCCTCGGCGAGTGCTTCGAGCTATGACCGCAACTCCAAGCAAGCTCCAACCAGGCGCGCATCGGGCTTCCGACCACTTCGCGCCGTGGTAGCCCGACGTCCGCGACCAAACATGTCCAAGCCAACAGCCAACTGGGAAAAGGTCGGCGACAAATTCTACAGAAAAGTCCAGCTCTACCAGGCCGTCTTCGACCAGGATCTCGAGCTCGAGAACTACCATGTGGTGGGGGCGCCGTATAGCGGTGCTGTAGGTAGGTATGTCCCGCTTGCCTGCAATTGACTGCGCATACCTGCACTGGGGCTGGGCTGACTGCATCAGCCATCTACCGCGATGAAGACAAACTACAGACATATCGCGGGCCAGGACCGTCCAAGTCGAGCATCGACATCTACAGCTGCGCGGGCAAGCTGATCCGAAGCATCAACGTGCGTCACCCCAGTATCAACTGCGAACCATTACGATGGGCAATGCTGACAGCCTCTAGTGGGACAAGGGACCCATCCGGGGCTTGGGCTGGTCTGAGGACGAAAAGCTGCTTGTCGTCACATCAGACGGCACCGTGCGATGCTACTACGGCCTGCAGGGCGACTTCGTGCCCTTCACACTGGGCCATGATTCAGACCAACTGGGCGTCGTGTCGTGCAAGTTTTATAGTACAGGCTTCGTCGCGCTGCTCGGGAACAACCATCTCATCTCGGTCACCTCGTACACCGAACCGCGCCCTAAACTCCTGGCCATTCCTCCGACCGACCCCATTATATCCTGGAGCATAGTCCCACCTGCATACTCGCTCTCGCGCTCAGTCGAAGTCATCCTTGCCATCGGAACAACACTTTACGTTGTGGACGCGACTGAAGCTGAAGACAGGAACTTTGATGCTGGGCCCTTCAGACACATTAGCGTCAGTCCGCGCGCGGAGTTCCTCGCCTTTTATACAGAAGATGGCAAGGTGTGGGTTGTCAGCGGTGATTGGAGCGAGAAGCTCAGCGAATACGACAGCAAGATCAAGACAGTCCCTAAGGACATGGAATGGTGCGGCTCAAACGCTGTTGCGCTGGCGTGGGAAGATGAAGTACATCTGATTGGCCCCAGGAGCGCCGCGACAAAGTTCTACTATGATACCTGGGTGCACCTGCTACCAGACATTGATGGCATCCGCCTTCTCACAAACGATGTATGCGAGTTTATCCAAAAAGTGCCAGATGAAGCGGTCGACGTCTTCAGGCTTGGCTCCGACTCGCCTGCTGCAAACTTGCTAGAAGCATCGTCTCTTCTCGAGCAAAAGAGCCCGAAAGCAGACGATCTCATCCAACTTATACGCCCTAGCTTAGGTGAGGCTGTTGATACCTGTATCAAAGCTGCTGCGCATGAGTACAATATTCATTGGCAGAAGTCGCTGTTGAAAGCTGCCTCATACGGAAAGTCGGTATTGGACTTGTACTCGTCTGATGACTTTGTCGATACCTGCGATACACTACGAGTTCTCAACGCTGTGCGTTTTTACGAGGTTGGACTGCCGCTCAGTTACGATCAGTACCGTCGCATGACACCCGAGAAGCTCATTGAACGTCTCACGAATCGCAGTGAATACCTCTTGGCACTGCGAATCGCCGAGTACCTGCATTTGCCAGCCAATCAGATTCATGGTCATTGGGCGCAGCAAAAGGTTCGTGTTTCTACAGACCCGGAAGAAGAAATATGCAGCTTGATTGTCAAGAAGCTTCATGGGAAGCCAGGCGTGTCTTTTGAAGACATTGCGCGGGCGGCGTATGATGAAGGTCGTGTTCGCCTTGCAACGGACCTACTAAACTATGAACCTCGAGCAGGAAAGCAAGTACCCCTGCTTCTGAACATGAAGGAAGACAACATTGCACTTGACAAGGCTATCGAATCCGGCGACACTGACCTGATCTACCATGTTCTACTGCACCTCCGTAAGAAGCTGCCGCTTGCGTCCTTTTTCCGAGTCATTAATAGTCGACCGGTCGCCACAGCTCTTGTCGAGTCGTCAGCTTGGGACCAGGACCGTGATCTATTGAAGGATCTGTATTACCAAGACGACAGACGACTCGATGGATCGAATCTTTTGTTATCTGAGGCCCTCTCCCAAGACAACCAGGCTGCTGCACAAGACAAGTTGAAGTTGGCATCGAAATACCTCCAAGACTCTCGCGAGAGTACAGCCATCTTCCAACGCCAGTCTATCGATGATGCAGCCAAGCTTCTTCGTCTCCAAACACAATTTGAGAATGACCTCAATGGACCCAGGGACGCCAGCCCCGCTAGCACATTACCTGGCCAGACCTACGTTGGGCTCTCGGCGAACGAAACAATCTTCCAACTTATTCGCCAGGGTCATACCAAACGCGCTCAAAAGGTGCAGTCAGAGTTCAAGATCAACGACAAGACATACACGTACATCCGGCTCCGGGCCTTAGTCGCAGCACGCCACTGGATCGAGCTCGAAGAGTTCGCCAAGCAAAAGAAGAGTCCTATTGGCTGGGAACCCTTTTTCAACGAGATCCTCGGCGCAGGCAACACTCGAGTCGCATCGGTATTTATTCCAAAGTGCACATCCCTGTCCGTACCTGAGCGCGTAGAAATGTGGACCAAATGTGGCCTGCTAGTCAAAGCAGGAGAGGAAGCATTCAAAGTCAAAGACCGGGAGTTGCTTGAAGAGATTCGAGCCAAGGCGGGTGGAAGTGCAGCTATCGAAGTGGAGAGGTTACTTGGTATGTTACCCCCGAGCAAGAAATAAGAAATAGGGAACATTACGTTACAGAGCAAATGGAACGGGGTACGCTGTATGTAGTACTAATGCACAATTATTCGCTACGAACGTGGATTTCGTGGGGCCCCTTCCGGCCCACTCTCTCGCCTTGCCTTTTTTATTGTGCCCTTTGATGATGCTAGTAGCACAGCGTCTCCGATGTAACTATCTACTACGCCCAAGGGAAAATACGACTCATCCCCCTTGCACCTGACTAAACAAAACCCAACGGGTTGTGGAGGCCAAGCCATGCACCCCAAAATGTGGAGGCTCCAACAACCACATCCACCCCCATCGCTTACCGTCATAAGTAGCATGGATCAGGAAGCGATCAGCAAATCTACCATCATACCCCGCGTTTTTTCCCAGGATCCCGCCCCATTTATTCTTGCTTTAGCCCCGGGGTATAACCCAGGTTTTGCAGCGCTCGACGTGACCCACCAAATCTCGGTGTTGTATCGGGGCGAAGCTACTACGAAACTGACGCGCAGGCTACTTCTGTGTCCGGCACCTTGCGAGGTCTTCTTTTCTTTTCTGTTTGGATTGAAAGGTGGAGATTGCGGGTGATTCGCTTGACGATGCCATGGCGGAAGGTTGCGGGCGGGGGGGCGCAAGTAGCTGGGGGTGAAAGTGCGGAGGTATATAAGTGACTTTTGTGCCATGCCCATTTACTTACTAGACTACTATCTTGTTGCGCGAGAGTTTTTTCTTTCTTTTCTTTCGAAAACGCGGGTTACGATGACGTTGTCTACACTGGCGCTCGTAGCCGTAGCAGCAGCAGCAGCGACAACGACGGTGGCATCCGCCACGTCGCTTCCATACTCTGAATACATTCTCGCACCCAAATCACGAACTGTACTCCCCGTCTCTATACACAGCAGCAACGGCTCCGTGTCGAACCCGGAAGCTTTGCTCCAAGGAGCAAGCAATGGCAGCGCAGTATTCACCGGTAACGCATCCACAGCGTACGACTTTGGCATCAACATCGCGGGCATCGTGAGCGTGAGTGTGGGCGGTAGTGTGGATTCAACCGGGGACTACATCGGCGTTACATTTTCTGAGAGTTCGCTGTGGATTAGCAATCGGAGTAGCGATGCTACGGCTGATGCGGGCAAGGATGAGACGCTTTGGTTTCGCGTCAATGCCATGGGAAAGTATACGGCGCCGAGGGATAAGATGCGCGGTGGCTTTAGGTATATGACGTTGGTGCATAATGGGACGGGTAGTCTGGAGGTTACGGGCGCGGAGGTGCATTATACAGCTATGCCGCATTGGGCTGATGATGCGATTGGGAATTATACGGGGTACTTTCATTGCGATGGTAAGGAGAGATTTTTTTTAAATGTAACTTTGGCTAATGGGAGGCAGATGAGCTGTTGAATAGGATTTGGTATGCGGGTGCGTATACAAATCAGTTGTGTACGGTCCCCCCGGATACGGGTAATGCTTTGGTGCACTTGGGAGAAACGGGATATTCGAGTACGGATGACCAGAGTCCGGTTAATGTTACGTGGTATAACAACTATACGATTACTCAAGGCACGAGTGCGTTGGTGGATGGAGCGAAGAGGGATAGGCTTGTTTGGGCTGGAGGTACGTTCTACTCCGATCGTGATTTATCAAAAATCGAGGAAAATGCTAACAAACCCCCAAAGACATGGCTATTGCTGTACCCGCAGTAGTCGTATCCACAAACGATGTCGTCTCGGTTGAGAACGCACTCAACTCACTCTTTGCTATTCAGAACCAAACAACTGGCACGCTGCCCTATGCCGGTCGACCTTTTTCCCCTTTGGTGTCGTTCACGTACCATCTTTACACTTTGATCGGTGTAGCGGATCACTACCTATATACTGTAAGAATTTACCCCCTCTTTACCATAATATCCTCTTACAGCGGGCTGACTGTTTTCCACAGGGCGACATGTCGTACCTAAAATCTCTATGGGAGCAATACAAATTCGCACTTTCATTTTCGCTCAGCAACATTGATTCGACTGGCCTCATGAACGTGACTACGCCGCAGGACTGGCTCCGTGAGGGAATGGGCGGACACAATATCGAGGCAAACGCCATTCTCTACTACACCCTCTACCAAGCTATCTACCTTGCTGGCGCTCTCAACGACACTGCAAATGTGTCAGACTGGCGCGAGACGGCCGAGCGCATCAAGGTGGCCGCCAACGAGCTTCTCTGGGACGAGGAAGTGGGCATGTACAAGGACAACGAGACAACGACGCTAAATCCTCAGGATGGAAACGCCTGGGCTGTTGTCGCCAACCTCACTCAAAGCGCGGAACAGACTTCTTTGATAAGCAATCGTCTGGTCGAGCGATGGACAAAGTATGGTGCACCTGCGCCGGAAGCCGCAGACGCCATTTCACCATTCATCTCGGGCTTTGAGCTGCAGACACACTTCCTCGCGCGCAATGTAACGGCTGCTCTGAATCTCATGCACTTACAATGGGGTTTCATGCTCGACGACCCGCGCATGACCAATTCGACTTTTATCGAGGGCTACAGCGTTACTGGAGAGTTGCACTATGCGCCATACAATAATGACGCACGTATCAGCCACGCACATGGCTGGGCAACCGGTCCTACATCTTCGCTGACCCAGTATGTTGCCGGGGTACAGTTGTTGACAGCCGGTGGAGCGACTTGGCGCATTGCTCCTAACCTGGGTGACAGTCTCAAGTTTGCGGATGCAGGGTACAGCACGACCCTGGGGTTCTTCAGCGCAAAGACCCAAATCCTGGATGACAGCAAGGTAGTGTTGGAGTTCGAGGCGCCCGAGGGAACGACGGGTGAAGTGCACGTTCCTGTGCTGAACTGCGGTGGCCGGGTTACCTTGAGTGAAGCTCAGAGTTCAAGCGAGGACTGCGTTGTGGATATTAGCGTGAGCGCAAGTGAACAGGAAAGTGTAGTGTTGCAGGATGTGGCTGGCGGCAAGTGGAAAGCTACGTTCCAGTGTTCGGAGTAAGTTTTCCTGTAGTATAATGCCTGGTTTCAATAAATCATGTGTCAGTTGTGAGCTGTTTTCTTGTCGTGTAGGGTATGTATACTAGCCACCCTAGGGTAATGGAAGACAACATCTCCTCTTTTCCAGGTCGCATTCCCGCACTAAATTCTCAACATATACATGTCCCGGCGAATACTCGCGATTTTTTGTCGCATTCCGCGGACAAAAGTGCACCCCAAGCCCGTGTTGTGCCTTGATTTGAAGTCTCGGATGTTGTGGTCCCCCAAGGAACCCGCCCGTATTTACTCAATATCCTCGCAGAGTGGAGAGAATCCGGTTTTCTGTTATGCGGCTGATGGGCCGCTGACGAGATCGGGAAAACTTATGGGGCTGATCCATGTAGTGGGAGGAAGATGTAACCGTAAGCGACATGGGCGGCTCCTTTGCGGATAGTGCGCCGATAGCCGTGGTTACCTGGAGTAACATAGAGAACTAGACATGCCGTAGCAGTTTCTGTTGCGCAATGGACGGCGTTTGTGTCGACGGAGCAACGAGTGACATGGCAATTGTATCATTTGAGATATGCGGTTTAGATATGGGTCTTGGTGCCCCATTGCTTTCTTTTTCCAAGGCTGACTGACTCGCGATGCAGACTACTCTTACCAAGAAACTGGTTGTGGCGGACGACGGCTCATGTCGTCGTTGCTGTTACGGGCGTAGCGATGGGCGATCCATGTACTGATCGACTGAGCCGCAGAAGCTGCTGTATGGACTCGACGCTTATGTGTTGTTGTTATTGTTGTTGTTGTCAAAGGAAAAAAGCCTGCAGGCAGCCTACTCTTACACCTCCGGTCAGATCTGGGTCGGATCAAGGATATTACATGCACGTCGTCTTGTAATACATGACAACAACGGGCCGTAAAAGGAAAACCGGCCAGTGCCACGCAGGAGGATGGCGATGCACGATTACCGGCATGACCCTTGAGCTAGCAGCAGTTTGCCGCGCTGTCGAACCAGTACCCCGCTCTCAGCGGCCGACAGCAGGTTGGGTGTGAAACAGGCGTTCCTATAAAGAGGCGCAATGGGTAAGGCGGGAGGTTGCCCCTCGCAACCGAGGGCTGAAAATAGTCCGGGGGTAGAGGGGGCCACAAACGACTATGACCACTAGGCCGCTGGCAACTTTGATCTACAGCCCGACCTCTCAACAGTTGCATCACTGCCTTTCTGTATTCACTCTTTTATTTCTTGCCGTCTTGGAAAGGTCCCAAAGACGTGTGGTGCGCTCGCGTTGTGTTGTCCTTCCGTCGCTATTCCCTCGTTTGCACTCCACGCACGCGACTCCGACGGCATTCTCCTATAGGAAGCGCGCGCATTTCTTCGCTTCTTCCCCACTGTGCCTACCCACAACGACAACGCATCCACGGCTCTGCTTTTAACCGAAACTTTGTATGCGCTTTGGAATATTGCGCTTGCGGGGCTGCAGACATCATGGACACGAGTTACCTAGCCCAGCAGGTCACGACAATCATTGGCCAGCTGCACGGCCTCTTCGACGAGATCGGTGTCCCCAGCCATGAGCGAGACTCGCGCGAAGCAGAGGTATGCGACAGGCGCACATGCTCATCTTTTATGCGACTGCTGACAGTCTGGTAGCTTTTCTCTGCATTGTCCGAGACGCTGCACAGCCAATTGCGCCAGGTGACCAACGAGAAACATGAAATGACCGAGGAGGCCCATCGCCTCCTCAAGACGATCCGCCAAATGGAAGCCTCGCTAGACGACAGCAGGCCGAATCCGAATTACGACGACCATGATGATGATGACGCCATTACTTTCCCCTTAACGCGCTGTTTGCAATCCCTAAAGGAGAGATACAACTCAGTCAGCAGACGACACCAAGAGCGATTCGAGCAAGTGCGAAAACTGGCTGAAGCACTCGAGTCGTACGCATCCCACCTCGAGTCGTCGTTTGTACAGATCAAGCTCCCGCCTACTGCGCCGAATGCGACCGTTTCACCCTCGTTTGACATCTCACCGGCTTATGTAACCAAACTCGACAACGAGTTCACGCGCGTATACGAAGAGTACACACGGCGGATAAACACAGTCCAGGTAGTCTGCCAAGAGATTATTCAGCTCTGGGCCGAGCTGGGGACCCCCCAGGCACAAACCGATGGCGCCATTGTCAAGTACTATCGCGACTCCCCCGAACAACTTGGTCTTCATAAGGACGATCTCGACGAGTTACACGCCAAAAAGGAACGCCTGATCGAGGAAAAGCGCGGGCGCGAACGACGACTCGGACAGCTGCGTGCAACGATTGAGGATCTCTGGGATCGCCTAGGAGTCGAGGAGCGGGAGCGTAAACAATTTCTTACCAGCAACCGCGGATGCGGTCTCCGCACCATCAACGAATACGAGGATGAGCTGGCCAGATTGAACGAACTCAAGCGTCAGAACCTACACCTGTTCGTCGAAGAGGCCCGATGCAAGCTTCAGGACCTGTGGGATGCCCTCTACTTTTCCGAGGAGGAAATGTTGGATTTTACGCCCGCCTTCTCGGATGTCTGTAGCGATGCACTGCTGGCCGCACACGAAACCGAAATCGCCCGACTCGAAGCCCTAAAGGAACAGCGACTCCCCATCCTGCAAAAGATTGATCGTCACCGTGAACTAATCAAAGAGCGTGATGAGCTTCAGCAATCGAGTCAAGACGCAACACGTCTCATGGCCCGCGGCAACAAGGGCGAGAGGCGTGACCCAGGCAAGCTTCTGCGTGAAGAGAAGATGCGGAAGCGCATCGCAAAGGAGTTGCCCAAGGTTGAATCTGTAAGTACACGACACCTGCAAGGCAAATGCCCAAACTAACGCAATCATGACAGGATCTGAAGAACATCCTAGAAAACTGGGAAGACGAATATGGACGCCCATTCCTGGTGCACGGAAACCGATACCTTGATGAGCTATATGCCTCTGCGGCGAAAGCAGCCGCAGCTCCGCCCCGTGCAAAGACGCCTTCAAACAGTAGCATGCCGAGCAAGTCAGGGACAGTGTCGAGGAACGCTGCCCCTAGCCGTGCTGGAACCATTCGCGGTGGAGCACCGCCAACTCGTTCGAAGACTCCTGTGTCTAATTACGGGGCAAGTGTGTCCAGACATACCATGTCCAGTTCTGTTTCCTCTGGTTTTGGTACTTCCGTGTCAACGATATCATCGTCGTCCTCGATAGCGCCGGCGCAGAAGAGTCCGTCCAAGATACCATCACGCTCGCAAATAGGTGGCACACAAACCGGTAGGAACTCACCCGGCCATCGAGTAACAGCTTCAAGAGAAGAGTCTGCAACCATGCGAAGAAAGGCACCTCCCATGGCACCTCCCCCACGAATGAAAGACCTCTTCATACCTCCGGAGCCGGCGCCTGTGGAGACTCCGATGAATCGGTTTGCTTTCAACCGCGGAGAACGCAGCGAGAGTATTGTGCGTAACGTGGCACCCGAGGACCCCTATGATGACCGATCGTATATGAGACACAGCCAGACAATGAGCGGGGGCTATACTCCAACCTACACTCCCACGTACCCTCCACCATCACTGTCGTCGGGAAGTAGCCGACAAATCTCACAGACATCGTCGACAGGGACAGCTGGCACGGGGGTGACGATGCAATCTGGGTCTGAAAACTGGGAGACATTTAGTGAACAGTCGGATGATGCTCCTGAGGAAGAGATCGATTTTCATGAGTACCGGCGGCAGATGAAGCGCTACACACCCGAAGGTGGTCACGCATCTACGCCGCGGGCAATTCAAGGCAAGAAGGTCCGAGGGATACGCAACGTCGGAGGACGAGAGTCGCCGAGTGAGCACGACAGCAGCATGGTGCGTGTGGTTGAAGGGTCCGAAGCGGGGTGGACCGACGACGGCGACGGGTACTAAGGAGAGCGATGCTTGTTTGCACCTCCACTTGGGCGCTTGTACGAGGCCATGCCGAAGATGGCTGCATGCTTTCCGGCAAAAGACGATTCACAACGCTACGGCTGCTCAATGTCTTGTCCGTTTTTTTTTTCACTTCTGGTTGTGCTTCTTGTCCGTTTGGGCTGTTAAGCTAAGGTTAGTGCATGCACTCCTTCCCAGGAAGCGGCTTGAGAAGGGTGAAAATTTTCACCTGAGACTCATGGCCTCGTTTTGAACTACAGAGCGAGTGGTTGGGAGATTCGCCACGTACAGGGCGAGCAGGAGCGAGCAGGGGCAAGCAAACGGGCTGCACGTCAGATTGCTAGCCAAGTGCTCCTTCTGTTTGATGCACTGGTGCCCTATGTTTTTTTTTCGCGCTTGAGGAGCGGAGGCGGGGCCCCCTTGACTTCTTCATTTGTTCAAATTATTGTGGTCTTTTTTGGGTGAGCGGCTGAACCGCGGCGCAAAGGGAGTTGATGGGAGGATTTCTGAGCGCGATTGGCGCAGTTTCCCGCTTTCTTGTATGCTTTTAATTGCTATCATATCCAGTTCTTGTATGTAAGCGTGGGGCAGAGGGGCATTTGCATGCATCCCAGCTTGCTGCCCAGAGTGGAAGGAAGGAAGGGGTGTGTGTGTGTGTGTGGGTGAAGACAAAAGGAGACGTGTACTGCTACGATTGATCAGAATCAAAAACATTGCAAACCGAGTAGACGGAAGAAAAGAATTGGAGTGACAAGTGACATTGGACAGGACGCGGGCGCAGGGATGAGCCAAGCAAAAGCCAGTGTTAGTGTGTGCAGGCGGAGCGGAAAGCTTGATATCCAGTGCGACTATGTGCACATGGGGAAGGCGCTCATTAGATTGGAATGGAAGAGGGATAGATGAGCTGCGTCTATGATTGCAATAGGCTTCATCTCCTTCATGTCTAGGCAGATGCCGAGGGAGGATCTTGTCTCTAACATCAGGGTCCGCGGTGTCTACGGTCCTTCCTGTTTGGCACAAGACCGTATGTTAAGCTCGATTGAGCAGGTGCAACTGTGCGAACGACTGTGCTTTTTGGCTGTGCGCAGG